ACACTGCATTCGGGGGATTGAACCCCAGCCACTGCGCCAGCTTAAGCAAGTGCTTTAGTCCATTGAGCTACTTGGCTGGACCTATTGGTCTGTTTTAAATACTTTAGACATTTTCAAATTTATTTTTAAAAATTATTTATTTATTTATTTGGTACAAAGTCTCACTATGCAGCTCGGACTTATAGTGATCCTCCTGTCTCAGCTTCCCCAGAACTGAGATTATAGGAGTGCACTACCATACCCAGTTTCAGTGGCCAGCATGGCACTCTGGGGTTCTGGGGTGGCAGTTGCAGTACTGAGGATTGAACCCAGGTCCTTGTGCTAGCCAGGCAGATGCTTAGATGGCCAAGCTATCTTCCCAGCTCATATTTAGTCATTTTAATGCTGAAGAATCTATTAAGTTCCTTTAGACTGGAAAATGATCTTTGCTTCAGGGATCCCTCCATAATTTTTAGAAGAATTATTTTTTTTCCCTCTTTCTTCTCTTCCTCCTTCTTCTTCTTCTTTTTTTTTTTTTTTTTTTGTAGTTAGTACAGCGTCTACAGGGTCTCACTACACAGATTGGGCTCGTAATGATCCTTCTGTTTTCAGCCTCCCAAGTGCTGGGGTTGTAGGTGTGCACCACCATGCCCAGTCTTAATGGCAGTCTCAGTGCGCCCTGCGGGTGGGGCCGGCACAGCACACTGGGGATTGAATCCTGGCCCCTGCATCTGCCTATGCAGGCGCTTTAATCCGCTGAGCTATCTGGCCGCCTTCCTTTTTAGTTTTATTTCTTCTTTCTGCTTAGTACTTTTTCCTTTCAGGGATTTTCCCACATTTTTCATTTTTTATCTGTGACCTCTAACTGAGACAGTAGGTTTTTTTTTTTTTTAAATTTTATTTATGTGTGTGTGTGTGGTCAGCTCAGCCCACCAGGGGGCGGGGCTGGCTGGCATGTGGTGCTGGAGGATTGAACTGCGGTCCCTGTGCTTTGCTAAGCTTGTTCTAAGTAGGTGCTTTAGACCACTGAGCCATCTCACCAGCCCGACAGTAGGTTTCTATATGAATTTTAGTCACTGCTCTCTGCTTGGGCCTGCTCTTAGAAGGACAGTCATCAAAATGTAAGGGAGTTGTACTCTTAGGAAGTATAAGTTATTTATTTGGTGTCAGTTCATTTCTGGGATTGTTCTGTGGTTCTCCTGGCTGTATTTCATTCAATCATTTGTTTCCTTTAAATAACTATTAGGTTAGTTTGTTTCCTTTGTGATATTGAGAATTTATTTCACTAAACATGTACATAATTTATGAAAATTTTATATTATTGAGATTTGGCTTACAGAAAAAGATACATAACTATATTTTTATTGCTTTTAAGAAATATTATATGGTTATGTTTCCATTCAAAAATTACATACAGGGAATAAAAATGTCATTTATTCTATTAAATATTGCTTCAAGATAGAGAAGAGATGTTTTGTACACACTCTAAATTTGTAAGATAGGAAATTTTTAGGTATCTGTATTTCCATTTAGGACCAGCAAGACAGCTCAGGGGACTAAACGCCTGCTTTGGCAAGTGCAGGGACCAAGGTTCAATCCCAGGTCCTGTATGCCATGGCAGTCCCGCCCCTGGGGTATGCTGAGTAGGCGACTGAGTCCAGGACTGTGGGCATGCCTGTAATCCCAGTGCTGGGGAGGCTGAAAACAGGAGAATCACTATGAGTCCGAGTTGCACAATGAGACCCTGTAACAACCGAATACATTTAAAAAAATCTGTATTTCCTTTTATGATGAAGATAACAATATGCAATGTATTATTATAACTCTCCTACTACCTTGTTTTGAAACTGTTTTATTATTATTTTTATTTTTTCCCCTTTAAAAAAAGAATAAGCAAAGAATAAGGACAAAAGAAAAAGAAATAACAGAAATGTTATGAATGATTTTTTTTTTTTTTTTTTTCTTCAGAACTAGGGGTTGAACTCAGGTCATTGTGCTTGCCAGGCAAGCGCTTACTCTACTAAACCATCTCCCCAGGCCTGAATGAATTTTTTATGGATATAATTTGTGAATTGATAGTGTATACCTATAGGCATTATTTAACATTAAGTTAAAAATCTCTTCTAAAATGTTATTGAGAAAAGAATAGGATTTGCCTCTTTCAATTATTTTCTCTGCCAGTATGTACAGTTTCTCAGGCTAGAATTTAGTGTTTTGGGATCATATTGAATCAAGGCACATTTTAAACATGGAATATATTCTGTTTTCCATCAGAGGCAGTTTTGGACATAATTTCATGGATTTTATTTTTCAGGATATTGAAAATATGTTGAAAGTCTCTTCTTGGCTTGGACACATTAGAAGCAAAAAGCCAGAAATGGAATTAGAAGCTACATAGAAACTAATGCATACCATTCAGATTTTGTGTGGGTATTAGGTCTGGATAATCAGCCATGAAATCAACATGGATAAGTTTAGTTCTCAGTTTAATGCTTACTTTTGAACTAGTTAGCTCGATTAACTTAGCATGGATGCTAAGGATCAGCATTGCAGTTTAGAGCTTTTGATAGCTTGAATAATTTTGCATTAAAAAGTATGTGACTTCTAAATGAGGATGGAGGTAAACTCAGGCTTTAGTCACACAGGGGAGATAATTTGAGTGTGTATATAGCTTAATATTAACTTATCATAGTTTTATTAAGGAGCATCTTTGGTGGTTAGGCAGTGTTATGGGCACTGGAGATGCAGTGGTTAGTAGTTCAGATAAGATCTCTGCTCCTTGAGCTCCTATTGCCTTGGGGTCAAAGGGTAGATAATATTTTGAACAACTATGGTGCAATCAAATAAGGTAATTTAACCATGTTTGTAATAAAGACAAGCAAAATAAAATAATTAAGATAATAGAGACTGGTAGAGTGTGTAAAAGTTTCCAAAGTTTGTGCTCATGGCCTTTTTTGATGAGGTCACATTTTGAGGCATTGAATGACAAGAAAGAAGCCACACAAGCAGTGGGAAGAATGATCCAGTTGGGGGTGGGGTTGGGGTTGGAGGTGGGGATCTGCAAGAACAGTATTCTTTGTGATATTGAGCCTTGGTAAAAACAAAAAGAAAAATCTCACATTTACCTCAGTAACTGCTGAGTGACAGAAACAGCAATGAACAAAACAGAAACTCCTCACCAGGTGGAAACCGATGGCTCATGCGGGCAATCCCCGCTGCTGGGAGGCTGAGACAGGAGGATCACAAGTTAGAGGTCATCTGGGCAACAAAGTAAAACCTGCCACAGAAGAGAAAAATCTAAGGGATGGGATATGTTCAGCACTACTGAAATTCAGCCCCTATTACCACAGAAACAACAGAAAATCTGAGAAATTTTTGCTTTCGTGGAACTTATGTATCAGACCTACTTCATTAAAAGGGATTGGCAGTTTTAATCTTTTAAAATATTTGAATGTTTAATCAATATAATTAGGAATGCTGAATTCTCAACCTTTGAGATGGGATGAAGGTATAGTGGATGATGGTGGCTTTTAGAATGCCTAGAGCTATTTGATAGCGACCTTAATTGAGAATAATAGTCCTTTCATGTAGTATATTAAGAAAGAAAAGACTGGGTATTAGTGTGCTTTGCGGCAGTGATGGCAAACTTTAGATCTTCCAGTGGTACAGACAGCCCACTGCTGAGGCGCATGTGCCATGCTTTGCCATTTCTGCCCTAGAGTAATGTACTTTTTGGAATCCAGGAATAATATTTCATACAGTGTTTTAACAACTTGCCAAATGTGAAGTGCACTTAAAAATAATTTGTAGTTCAGAATTTGTGTTGAAGTATTTAAATTTATTTATTTATTTATTTTTTGTGGTTGGCTCAGCCCTCCCTGGGGGCAGGGCTGGTGTGGCATGTAGTCCTGGGGAATCGAACCTCGGTCCCTGTGCTTTGCCTGAGCTTGCCTAAGCAGGCTGAGCTATCTCCCTGGCCCTTGTATTGAAGTATTTTAGAAGTAACACTAACTTCTATAGAGTAATTAGTTTATTTGCTCCCATGAAAAACTGTTGGGTTCAAATATAGTTAATAGAGGCTATTAACTATAGGCTATGTCAGTGTTTCTCTCTTTTATGGATCTAGTACTTTGTAGTTTTTCTTAAGTGTCCTGTTGTTCTCTTTATGAGGGATAATGATTTAATGAAGTCTAACACATTATTGGTATGACCTTTTATCTTTGATTTATGTTTGAGTAAGATGATTAGAAAAGGTTTTTTATTTTTACTTAAAATAATATTTGCATTATAAATTATTATTATTTTTTTCTTTTTGACATGGTTTCACTTTGTAGCTCAGGCTGTCCTTGCACTCAATTTGTAGCCTATGCTGTCCTTGAACTCCCAGAAATCCTCCTGCCTTAGCCTCACAAGGGCTAGAATCATAGGCGTGCACCACTGCACCTGGTCCTATATTTAACAGTTGAATTGTGAATTTAAAAACATGAAGGAGCTGGACATGGTGGCTCACACCTGTAATCCCAGCACTTGGAAAGCTGAGGCAGGAGGATAGCCATGAGCTTGAGGCCAGCCTGAACTACATAGTGAGACCATCTCTCAAAAAACCAACACCAAAAATCAAAACCACAACAAAAAACAAACAAAACACTTGAAAACCAAGTATGGTGTTAGATGCCTATAATCCCAGCACTTGGAAGACTGAGGCAGGAGGGTTTTGAGTTTGGGGCTAGCCTGGACTACACAGTGAGACCCTGTCTCAAGAAAACCAAATAAGCAAACAGATCAACAATAACAAACATTTGACAGACTCAGTTGTTACAAGGAGAAGCAAGACTTCCTGAGAAGCTAGAACTATCTTCAGAGATATTCTGTGGCAGGGCTGGGGATTGAACTCTGGGCCTTATGCTTGCCAGAGAAGCGCTTATTCTACTGAGCTATCTCCCTGGCCCTTCAGAGATATTCTGGAGAGGCAAAAAGTTCATAGCAGCAGAGGCAAAGAGTTTCTATTTCTTTATTTTCAGAGATTCAAGCAGCAGTGAAAGTGAAGACAGTTCTGATTCTTCTTCTGATGATGAGTTAATTGGCCCTCCTTTACCCCCTAAAATGGTAGGACAACCAGCTAATGTGGAAGAAGACATCCTTGGCCCCTTGCCTCCACCTCTTTCTGAAGATGATGATGATGAGGATGATGCTGATGAAGGAGAAGAAGAAGTAAGTAATTCAGGAATCTCTGATAATTTAAGAATCCAAATGAGGAGTATCTTTTTTTTTGGCAGAATCGGGGATTGAACTCAGGCTCTTGCACTTGCCAAGAAACCCTTATTCCACTGAGCCATCTACTTAGCCCTGCAAATAGTGTCCTTACAGAAGTATGAACATCAGTTTACTGCTGAACTTAGTGATAAGTCAGAGTAAATTTAAGAAATGAAAAGAGAAATCTAACAACCCTTGTTTAAAATAACACAGAAAGAAGGGCCGATGAGATAGCTCAGCGGATCAAGCACCTGCTTAGGCAAGCGCAGAGACTGGGGTTAGAGCCCTGGTACCACATGCTGTACTGACCCCGCCCCTGGGGCAGGCGGATCAGGCACCTCAATCTGGGCGTGGTGGTGCATGCCTGTAGGCCAACTGCTGGGGAGGCTGAGAACAGGAGGATCACTATGAGTATGAACTGTATAGTGAGACCCTGTACAAAAAATAAAAAGAATCTCAGAAAGAAACAGACCCCCAAAATAATAAAAGTTCAGTATGAAAATTACAGTTTTCTGAACAATCTTTTATTTTTTGGTGCTGGGAATTGAATTCAGGACCTTGCACTTGCCAGGCAGGCGCTTATACTGCTGAGCTATCTCCCTGTCTCACTGTTTTCTGAACAGTTGCCCAAAGAGTAGAAATAAAATATGTAATCCTCAAAATAGTAAACGGAAAAATGATAAAGAAACGTACATTTTCTAATTGATATATGGAATAGACAGTTAAAAAATATATTCCTTCTCTAAGACAGATTATCTTAGTAATTAAAAACTTAAATGGATTATAGTAATGGAAAAGACATAGAAATATCAAGGACTGTCACACTGGGTATTGGAACATTGTTTTACAGGACATAGGATTACAAATCTGTTAGTTCCAAATTAACCTTTTAATTTAGATTTTGTAATTTTTTTCACATAAAACAACATATATATTTTTATATAGGCTGAGACTATATGTAGAAATATGTACATGTGATACATGTGATATGTAAAATTAAGAGTAACATGAGGATAAATTTGACAGTTTCATTGAAAATCTTATTTTGTAATCAATGCCAGAAATACAATATTGATCTTCTTCCTTTGATATCCATCATAGTGCTTTTAAGTATCTTTTTTTTTTTTTTTTTTGAGAAGATTTTTTTCTGCGCTTTTACAAATTTGCAATGAATTAAAAAAACAGATCGTGTTCTTTATAAGACTTTTGTATCCCCCCTCTTTTTTTTTTTTGAGAAGATCTTGCTGTGTAGTTCATACTGGTTTTGAACTCATTATGTAGCCCACACTGGCCCTGAACTCAGTAATCCTACTGGCTCAACCTCCTGAGTGCTGGGATTATAGACATGCACCAAAATATCTTTGTAATTGAAATGTTTTCACTAAAATCTCTATTAGAAAATTCATAATTTTCTTTTTTGGTAAAAATTTCTACAGTTTTCTATAAAATCAGAGAAAATAGGTAAGATATGGCCACTGTAAAGTTATGTACCCATTTCTAAATTTCTAAGCTCTGTCCCTCAAATCTGTAGATCATGGAAAGCTATGGAAGCATTAAAAAGCATGAGGAAGATGTACTTAATTATTTTGTGTAATTTGCAAAGTACTATGAAGTGTGTATGACATTAGATTTTGTAATGGGTTGAATGTTTGTCTTGGCAAACCTTGGATATTGAAGACCCATTTTGGCTCCATTGTAGCTGTTTCAGAAGGTGAGACCTCTGTTATGGTTTAGTTTTTTTTTTTTTTTAATTTTTTTTTTTTTTACATTTATTTATTTATTGTGTGTGTGTGTGTGTGTGTGTGTGTGTGTGTGGCCAGCTCTGCCCACCAGGGGGCGGGGCTGGCTGGCATGTGGTGCTGGGGGATCAAACCGCGGTCCCTGTGCTTTGCCAAGCTTTTTCTAAGTAGGTGCTTTAGACCACTGAGCCATCTCTCCAGCCCCTCTGTTATGGTTTAGATCTAAAATGTCCCCCCAAATTCTCATAATCAGAGGTGGGACCTGTTTGGAAGGGGTGGGTCCCTGGCAAATGCCTTGGAAGGCAGTGTCTTGTCCCAGCTCCTTCCTTCTCTCTGTTCCATGACTGCCATGGACTGAGCTCCTTATTCTCTGACTGACCCTCTGCCATTCTGTGTCTGCCTTAGAGCCAGCTGACCATACCATCAAACCTGGAGTCAAAATAAATCTTTCTTCCCTTAAGTTATAGGCACTGAGTGTTTTTTCCCAGCACCGCGAGGATGACTAAGACTGTTAAAGTTAAACCATAGGGTCATTGTCTTTGTAAGAATAGACACCAAAAAGTGTGTGGTCACCTTGCTGCTGCCTCGCCCCTGGTAGGGAGGAATGACTAGGTGAGGCCTTAGCAGAAGATCATCTATAAACCAGGGAGGTCTTACCAGAAACCAGGTCGACCAGCACTTTGACTGTAGACTGCAAGCTTCCAGAACACTGAGAAAGTAAATTATTCAAATGTATATTTTTTTACTAATCCAATTTACTTTATACAAGAAAAAATGTGCTTTTGAGAGATTTTACTTATTGCCTGCATTTCCTCTGTAGTTATACAATTCATTGCCCAGTCAGCTCTGGCTGTCTCAGCAACTTAGAATATTTTTCAATAACATGTTTAATTTTCCGTTAGTATAGGTTTATAGATATAGATATAGATATAGATATAGATATAGATGTAGAAGTAGATGTAGGTATAGATATATAGATACAGATATCTCCTGATTGGTAAGCATATTATATCTGATCAGTTTTTATTTGGCTCCTCTTTCCTAATAAAGGAGTCTACTTGTATTGAGTTGATACTGATTAATACTTGACTGCTGCTTTTCTGTTGCTCTAGTTGCTGTTACTATAATTCTGTCCAACCTTTAGAAACCATTTCTGATGTGATTTTTCTCTAAGCAACATTTCCAGGTACCAGCTTCATGTACTACTTCACAGGACTGATTCTGCCTTCTGTAGCAAGCTTAATTTTTTTGGTTATTATTTGTGTGTAATTATATGTAATAACTTCAAGTACAAGGACTTGAAGAGAAAAGGTATAGTAGTTTTAAAAAACTCCCATAGGTTTTAGTATGTATAGGAGTGTTATTTGTTAGGCTAGGAAGTGGCTCAGTGGGAAAGCTCTTGTCTACATGTGGTAGGTCCTGGGTTCGATCCCTGGTGTCAGTAAAACAAAACAATTTAGAAAAGAATTACAGAAGTAGAATTGAACATTTTTTTATTTTATAGTTGAAATGTTCGTTTTATGGCTTCTTTTCATTTTGTAACTTTTGAGTATGTTTTTCATTATGACACATCCTTAGTTCTTATGTGGAAAATGAAAGTAGAGAACTGAACGGACCAAATGCTAGTGTAGAAATGTAGATCAACACCTGTTTTCATAAGAACCGTTACGTATGCACTGTCCTAACCTTCCAGGTCAGTTGTACAACAGCTTACCGACTGAAAGCTGCTTGAAGGTGAGCTAGACTAATTCATTAAGTTGTATAGATCATAGCTCATTGTACCATTTAATTGCACATTTTAAAAATAGTTTTTAAAATTAATGAATTAATTAGATGCAGGGTCTTGCTACGCAGCTTGGACTTGCAGTGATCTTCCTGTCTCTGCCTCCCTAGTGCCATGGCGCGCCTGGTGTTCCTGGGCCAGCGTGGCATGTGGTACTGGGGTTTGAACTCTGGTCCTTGCATTTACCAGGCAGGCACTTAGACTACTGAACTATCTCCCCAGCTCTAAAAATGCCTAAGGAAGGCTGAAGAATTAAACATGTGATAGCTCTAGAATTTTAAGGAAAGTAATCAATATGCATGTTAGTACATACATTATAGACTGCATTGCCAGTGATTACGTTTTTTTTTTTGGCGGAACCAGGGAATGAACTCAGGCCCTTGTTCTTGCCAGGGAAGCGTTTATTCTACTGAGCCATCTCCTCGGTCCCAGTGATTACTTTTTAAAATATGCATTTTACTCCAGTTAGTAGTAGTAGTTGGGTTTAGTGTTACTGTTTGAGTCATTGGATTGGAAATGTTAATGTATGTTATAATTTATTTTGATGAAAAACTTGTTTTTACTCATTCTTTATTCCCCTTATCTCTGATGCCCATAAAATTTGAAGGTTTACTTTTTTTCTTAGGACTGAACAAGTAAAAATTTAAGTGCAAAGGATCAGAAAAAAAAGGGGAATAATAATTTTTAACCACTCCTTTTACTTCTCTGTGGCCCTAATTTTTTTTTTTTTTTTTAAGGTGAGAAAGGTTGTAACTCATAATTAAATGGAGACTTTGGGATTATTGAGCATGTTCATTATTCTTGCTATTCTGTTTCCCATTACTACAGAAAATTGGAAGTTGGACTTTTATGACTGTAACTAAAGGCTGGATGTAACACTGACTTTTTAGTTATGAGCACCTGTTTTCCATGAACTTTGTCTGACTCCCTGCCTGGCACGTTCTGTGGTTGAGAGTCCAAGTTTGGGCCACCATTACGCCTCTCTGTCTTCTGGTCTGAGGCTTTTCATCCCTTTGCCCTTGGTCATTGCCAACCACCTGTATCAGTCAGTCTCTTCTCCTCATGCCTAAGGAAAGGTTGAAGAATTAAACATGTGTAAACTCTCCTTTAGTTTTTAGTAATATGAGAAGGAAATCAGTTATGGAAACAACATTGCATGCTTTCGTTAATATTTCACTAATGGTCAATTTAATTTAAACTGACTAGGAAGAAAAAAATTATTTAAAAAGTGTGAAGAAGCTCAATGAGTTTAGCTTTAAAGGAGAATGTGATTTAAAAGGGCGATTTAGTTACACCTGCAAGATTTTGTCAGCAGAGGATGCTAGAAGCTCTTCCAAAATCCAGGGAACTTGTTCCTTAGCTTTTCTAAATTACTAGTACTGGAAGAGTTTTAGTCTTTAAATGGACACTAGGGGGCAGTGGAGGCATTTTGGCAA